CTTACATTTTAATTGTAGAAGCATCTGGTCTGGTGTCTGTTTTCATGGCTAAATAACTGGCTAATTCAATGGTGTTAATCAGTGATAACACACGGTCAGCAGCAGCAACCACTTCTGGCAATTGTTTACTTCTTTCCTACAATTCCAAGTTAAAATATGAAGTTAGTGATGCCTAGTTGTACAAAGCAAGCATGCAATCTAAAATTATGTAAATGTCTGGTTGTTTTAGTTTGTTGCTTTGAGAAAACATTTCAAACAAACAGACAGACAGACAGACAGACACAAGGCATTTTATTGGCATTTGTATTTGTGAATCATAAATTTTGCTGTTCTACAGCATTTCTGCGTGAGTTTGTTACATATTTTGATAGTCTGTGTTAAGATAAGCAACGCTGCACACCAATCATAGTTCTTTATACCATTATATTGTGTAACACAAAGTTACACCATATATATGTATGTTTCTTTCTTCTCACTGTTTATGGAAACAAAATGTAGAATGTTTAGTTTGTGCTATTGGGAATGCTGATGTTTTATTTAGAAAGCAGAATATAACTAATGTACCTTCTGTATTGACACAAGCTGAAGTCAACCTGTTTGATTTTGTTTCTGAATACAGATTGTGCTATAAACAAAATAAACGTAAGAAAAATTGGTCAAACTTGACCAACCCAAATTCAGACTGTGTTTCCAGCTGTGCCTCCATGAATTAGTCACTGGTTGTGGTCTATCTATCAAAACAAAATCAATGGATGTGCACTGGCATTGGTCATCCCGAACTAAAATGACAACCACCATGAATATCAAATACTAACAACTACATACCTTGGATGACTCTTTGCTGTTCAATCTTGCAACATGAAGTGGTAAATGGTTTGAATGTTTTTCCAGTAATGCATTATACAAATCTTCATCTTCAAGTCTACTCACAGAAAGAAAAAAATCCTGAATATAAACTCAATAACAATCAGACAAACACGTATCATATTAAATCAACATAAAAAAAAAAAAAAAACCCATCTGTGTCCTGAATGTATTGGAGGCATACTGTGTCTTCAGGGTATTGGAGGCATACTGTGTCTTGAGGGTATTGGAGGCATACTGTGTCTTGAGGGTATTGGAGGCATAAAGTACAAACAAAAAACACTGTATTTACTATATTAGAAGCAGTTCTCCAACGAAGCATTTGCATTTATTGCATGCAAAACCTACATGTAAATGTGCTTCTAATAGAGCAAATATGCCATTCAAAAATGCAAGCAGTGATCCAAGTGATTCCAAGTGTGTATGGTATAACACTTACAAATATGTATTAAATCATGACCATACATGATGGCTTGATTATATATCTTGTTTGACAACACAATTATAGTTCCTATCTGCAACAGTAGCTATGATACTACAGTTATGAATATTAATGAGGTAACATGACTATAAATTATGTTATGTTAACTATATTTCATGTAAAATGATTTCAATATTGCACCAAATCTCTCCTGCAATGACTTATCTGCTGTCAATTTAAGATTGGCAGAAAACTGATAA